AAAAATTGCAAAATTTTACTAAATCAAGGGCAATAACTCTGAAAATACTAAAAATATCCAGACCAAAATACCCAGGTGCACAACTACAGCATGCTGATCAACATTCCTGTAAAGTTTCATGACTCTAGGTCAAATACTTTTTGAGTTACGTGCGACACAAAAGTGAACGGACGGACGGACGGACGGACAAGGGTAAATCTAAATGCCCGCCACTTATACGTGGGGGCACAAAAATGAAATGTGCACAATTGTTACCCTTCAGTATGATAGAATAGATACTTTTATTTTCTCCACGTGGGAGAGCCCAATGTTAGTATTTTTACGATTAATTAATTTTCTTTACCCGTATAAAATATTAATAAGAATAGAATAGCAGTGAAAATGTAATGATGGGGGGAGGTGTTGCAATATAAATTTAGTGATATATGACTTAAACATAAAACTGTTTCTTAATTAACAGACAGGTGCGAGTTCTTCAATTACGAAAGCTCATTATATTTTCGTAATATTACATGTATTTGCTTTAACATGAATGATTCACATACAACAATTTTCGACAACACAAATTCTTGGCAGTTTTCTTTTGTTCTCGAAAATGTTCAAACTCTCATTTATTATTTTTCATAAAATTAACATAGAATAAGAACAAGAATTTTTAGAAAAAAAGATATTACACAACACAATTTTATATCCATAGTAAACTCGTTCCCACGACTTAACTATCTCGTGGCCACGACTTAACTATCTCGTGGCCACGATTTAACTATCTCGTGGCCACGACTTAGTAACTCGTGGCCACGGCTTAGTATCTCGTGTCCACGACATAGTATCTCGTTTCCCCTGACTTAATTATCTTAGTAACTCGTGGCCACGACATAGTATCTCGTTCCCACGACTTAACTATCTCGTCGCCACGACTTAGTAACTCGTTTGGTCACGACATAGTATCTACTAAGTTGTGGCCACGAGTGGGAACGAGATACTATGTCGTGGCCACGAGTTACTCAGTAATGGGCACAATATAATTAAGTCATTGGGAACGAGATACAAAGTCGTGGGCACGAAAATAATTAAGTCATGGGAACGAGATACCAAGTCGTGGGCATGAGAGTATTAAGTCATGGGAACGAGATACCAAGTCGTGGCCACGAGTTACTAAGTAATGGGCACAATATAATTAAGTCATGGGAACGAGATACTAAGTCGTCGCCACAAGATAATTAAGTCATGGGAACGAGATACTATGTCGTCGCCACAAGATAATTAAGTCATGGGAACGAGATACTAAGTCGTAGGCACGAAATAATTAAGTCATGGGAACGAGATACCAAGTCGTGGGCACGAGATTATTAAGTCATGGGAACGAGATACTAAGTCCTGGCAACGAGATAAATAACTAATCAGATTACACCATTTATATATATTTCCTAATTAACTAGGTATGTGCTATAGTACAAGGATGACGCTACTTCACCTGCCTGTAAAAGTGTCATTTATACAAATTATTGATTGGTCAATAATTTTACATTTAGCGTCCTTGTGACCCTGATTTGTGACCCAATGACCTCGAAATTATAAGGTGTCATCTACTGATCGAGTGCAATGATCTTTCTAGGTTATATAAATCATGGCTAATTCCTTCTAAATTATTCATCAGACAGGATTTTACATATGAAAGTGGCATGGTTACCTTGACCCTTGACCTCAAACATCTTTATAGGCTATCTACTTATCATGGGCAATGTCCCTACCAAATAAAATAAACTAGTACTTATTCCTTCTCAAATAATCGTATAAACTAGGTTAACAGGCCGTAGTACGTACAAACTGACCAATTTGATCACAAAATTGTCCCCACAAAGGGCTATAACTTTGTCTAAATTGATGTCTGATTTATGGACCTTGAAAGGTGACTTTCTAATATGATCCTAAAGACATGTATCAAGGTAACAGTGAATATCTTCGGAATTTTCAAAGATAAATATTACATGTAAAACTTTACACAGAATTATTTCAAGTTTAAAAAATTCATAATATCTATAGTTTAATCTGATTGATTAATTATCTCGTGCGCACGACTTAGTTATCTCGTTCCCACTACTAAGTAACTCGTGGCAACGACTAAGTAACTCTTGGCCACAACTTAGTTACTCGTGGCCACGACTTAGTAATTCGTGGCCACGACTTAGTAACTCGTGGCCACGACTAAGTAACTCGTGGCCACGACATAGTATCTCGTGCACACCACTTAAATATCTTGTTGCCACGACTTAGTAACTTGTGGCAACGACATAGTATCTCGTGCACACGACATTGTATCTCGTGCCTACGACTTAATTATCTCGTGGCCACGACTTAATTATGTCGTGGCCACGACTTAGTAACTCGTGGCCACGATATAGTATCTCGTGCCCACGACTTAATTTTCTCGTGACAACGACATAGTATCTCGTTCGCGCGAGATAAATTAAAAACACACACATGTCACATTTGTGCCACCGTAACTACAGGAACATATCCAGAACGAACATGCATTGCAGTGATCTCATTTCATTATTTGTTTTAAACGTTTTTAGTATTACAAATGTTTTGTTGTTGTTGTTGTTGTTGTTTTATCTTCTTCTTCTTCTTCTTTTTTTATTAAGAACAGATTGTTACAAACGGAAACAAACTCTTATAAGGCTTTTGTACGTGTTTAGCAAAGATCACGCAAAAGCTTACTGCAGTATTCAAATTTAACACACAGATTAGCATTCAAAAATCATACACAAAACAGCCGTCTTGTGCATGGTAAAAAGTTGTGTTGAGTTTCTATCATGCCTTAATTAATTATCATCTTTTCCCTTGCAATATGATGTGCAGCCAAAATTATTGGAAAAGCATAAAAACGAAATGTTTCAAACTGTGACTGTTTCAATGAGAAATTTACTGGAAGATAGAAAATTATAGACAAGTGTTTGTTTCAATGGACTTTATTAGTAAAAATAAAATTCAGAAACATGTTTATGACAATAATATTTAAAGATATAAAATCGATGCCTGAGCAGAACATGAAAAGACGAAAATAATAATATAAAACAAGCAAAACAAAACAAAAAAAAAACAACAAAAAAAGCAATCAAAACGAAACAGCAAAACAAAACTAAACAAACAAAGAAAAATAGACATGCACGTGGTTTCTTTCCTCTTCTTTTAATCTGAAATTTAAAGAACAAACTGGGTATTTTTCTTATTTTTAGGGAACTTCAGAAAGTGAACATTGTACTTTAGAACGATGACAGGAGCACATGTCTAGTTATTATGGTATAAACACAGAGATCGCAACTTTTCGGTCATTTCCGCCAAACCTCATGAATATGGGGATAATCGAAGAGGTATTCCAATGGTAAGATAGAGTGTGAAAAAGATAACACAAGGTACGGGCTAATGCGGGGTAGAAGTTTCCTCAGACATGTATTTTGTATATAAATAAATGTACTTAAATTCATTTTGGAATGTTTTGTTATATCAACATATTCGGACCTTTTTATCAATAACAAAATATTTCTTCATAACAAAGGAGCGTTTGCGTACAGTGAACATGGTCAATGAGTTAAGATTTGGTGTTTGAAACAGAAAGGACTTTTGTCTTTAACAATTAGCTGAGGATAGGGTACGACATGTAAGTACCACGAGCTTTTCTTATCATTCAACCTACATATGTTCATTCTGTATGCCTTTGGCCCACAACAAAGCTTGGTTCAAAATTAAAACAACTTCCACAATATAAATTTAACTGAGAGGTTTCAGCTAATGACTTTAGTGAGTTCTTTTATTCTGTAATAATATTGCAGGACGCATACCTAAGTTTAAGTACTTTACGTTACCAAATGTTTCAACAATGGATTTGATGAAAAAATCTGAATTTATTATCAAGTCTTACCTTAGTCACTTACAGGTGGAAGACCATCATCAGTGATGTCACATTCGGTTATGCCAAATGCTTCTGCAAATAAAAAATAGAACGATTATTTTTTCCCTTTTTATAAATTTTGAAACAATATAATAATTATATGAAAAATTACGAAGTACTGTATGGTAGAAATTTTTGGTTTGTCGCAAAATACTGAACATACATTCTTACCTTTGAATTCTTTGACAGTTCTAGGAGCTCTAATAGCAGAGTGGTTGATGTCGGCATCCATCACAATATTTGACAGGCTCTCTGTTACAGCCATATCAGCAATTTCTGTAAGAAAATTATTATCTCGTGTACATATACACTAAAAAGTATCAACTCAGAATTAAAACAAAAATTATCTTTACAAAAGATAATCAGGGTTAATGTCAGCCGTTTATGAATACCTGTCCGTAAAGTACCGGTAATGGAATGGCAAATAACCCGTAAACATGGTAAAGTTACCGGAAGTCAAGGTGAAGAAAAAAATGGTAAAAATTAAGTGAAGCTGCAAACATTACGAACTGATTGGACTGCAATGCACTTTATGTATATTGTCAAAGTAAAACTGATAGATTCTTCTTCAAAAGACAAGACTGTTAGAATTTGTGGAGTCGTCATTCGATTTACTCGAATTGATTGATCGAAATGCCAAGAAAATTTCTTGACAAATCTGAGTCTTGTCATAAAAAAGGAACGAGCCTTTATTAAAAAATAAATGAGGAGGACGACTTAAAACGCAACTATAAATGACTGTAGAAAATAATGAATTATCAAAATATTCATAAATTACTCATAAACGTATTGTTTTATGCACTTGACAATTTTATCGACACCCCCGCTCCGGGGAACAGTGCTGATAAAGGCCCCGTCCTTTAGAGACTGCCAGAAAGTAAATTGTCGGATTTTTTTGTTAGTTTTTTTTCTTTTCATGGAAATTGCCAAAGTTCATCTGGCAAGTAAAGCATGTCAACTCACGCTCCTTTTTTTCTTTTACAGATCATACTCTTTATTCTCTCAGGTATATAAGTACAGTATTAAGAAAATAAAATAAAATAAACAGATTAAATTTTGACAAAGGTGTACAAGTAATACATTAGATTACTTTAGATAAGTAATACTAGATTCTATTTTCAGCTCTAGCGGCCACTAAAAGGGGTCAATCAAATTAATTTGAGCAAACTTTGATTAAAAAAAAAATCTAAGAATGCTAGAGACAAAGTTTGGTGATCATCAGTACATCAATTAATTCAGTAGAAGAAGATGTTTAAAGGTTAGCTTTAGCAGCAATCAAATTCATATGAGCAAATTTGATTAAAGACTACCGAAGAATGCTATGTACAGATAAAGTTTGGTGATCATCCATCAATTAGTTAAGTAGAAGAGGTGTTTTAAGGTTTTTTCTATTATTAGTTTTAGTGGCCCGTTAAAGGGGCCAATCAAATTAGTATGAGAAAACTTGATGAAAGACCACCTAAAAATGCAGACAAAGTTGGTGATCATCCATCAATTAGTTCAGTTTAAAAAGATGTTTAAGGTTTTTTAGCTTTAGCGGCCCATAAAAGGGGCTAATCAAATCATATGAGTAAATTTAACAAAAGACTACCTAAGAATGCTACAGAAAAGATTGGTGATCATCCATCAATTAGTTTAGTTGAAAAAAAAAATAGTTCAAGGTTTTTTATTTTTAGCTCTATTGACCCCTAAAAGGCGCCAATTGAAATGATATGAGCAAATTTAAGTGTGACTGTCACAAGGATACTGTAGACCAAATTTGAAGTAAAGATGAATGTTGCACATTACGATGGACGACGGACTCCAGAGCATCCACCTTTGATATGAATAGCTCAACATGAACCGGGCAATAGGGATGTTGTTACAATTAAACTTTGTAGCAACCAAATAACTTACCGCTGATGATACTAGAAGACAATGATATGTTGTCGTCTGCTGGCTTCGCTGATACTGTCGTGATGTTGCTAGACAACTCCTGTCTCAGAGTGTCGGCTGCATTGTCAATGATGTACGTCACGTACTCTACAACTAAAAAATATGTTTCATCTTCATGACAAAGTGTCACATAACGAAAAGTATTTGCTGTCGTTGCCTTACATATCTAAATTATCAGTATAATTCTAAATGTCACGATCGGTTTTAAAGCACATGCACTTTGACATTTAACGCAACATTTAACAAAATATCTCGTAATCTGTTTAAACTATACAGCTAATTTTATTGCGGGTTCATTGAAGAATAAATGCTGCACTGGATGGACAACAAAACGGACTTTTTCAACTATCTGATTAATTAATCTTGAAAGATATTTTTCGGAATTTTGTCATCTGAAATAAGGAAGTTCTAAAAATAGTTGAGAACAATATATGTTTTTACCAAGTTTGTCGTATTCTGTGGTCTCTATCACTGTTACACTTTCAATATCAACAACATCGTCTGAAAAAGGAATGTGTTTTCAAATTGTTATGTTTTTGTTTTTGTTTTTTTTGTTAAATTTTTTATTATATGAAAATTTAACAAAACCAAAGAGAGTGAGTGAGCAATGAAAATACTTTTTACGGGAATATTGAAATATTGATAAATATTGATGAAATAAAATGCGTATTGTTTCTGTATTTTCGCTCTAAAAATTTATTTTTCACTGCAGTGAAACATATTTTCCGTATTTTCACTTGTGTCTTGCCGGACTACAATCTTCTAAATTCAGCCAATACACAATATTAAAAGGAATTCTTCCTATTCATAAGGTTAAAAAAAAAGTTAAAAAATGGATACGGTATTTACAGAAGAAGCTTCAATATTCTCTGTTTATTTGGTGTTTGGTCAGTGAAAATAAATTGACAGATAGCCAGCCCATCTGAACTTCTGTACTTTGATTTTCGTTTCTATACAATAAAACTGTACATAAATGCTTGTAGAAAATATACTGCAGTAAGAATTCTTTTATAAAACAATTTATGAATTAATATATAAACTACTATACCATTCACAGATGACAGGTTTTGAGGAACGACTTTGTCTGACTTGCTGGCAATCTTACAGACGACCATGTCGGCAGTACCTGTTTCATTTCACGGCGTCTCAACGCCGTGATATTGTGATGGGTAGTTTTCGGTAGCATGGGCAAAAGTCACGTGACAAAATGCCTTTCGATTTCTACAGCCGACATTTTATTGTTTTTACGCAATCATTGTACAGCCCATTTCCGTGAAAAATTACATAGAAACTTTTTTTTTTTCAAAACCATATAGAATCTAAACAGTATTTTTATCAACACACGAAATATCAGCGTTTTATATTAACACATTTCCGGACATCCTTTCGACATGCTTGAGAAATTTGCCTTGAATGGATTATGTATGGTGGCTGATTAACGCCATCCAAATATTTTCGCGTCTTCGCCTCAAAATGCGAAAATGCGAAAACACGAAGGGACGACATATTTTCGACTAATGTGTTCTCATGTCGGATCTATGTCTCTCTCGGAGTGAATCTTTTCACGTGTAAAATGTCTTTGAACATTACATTCCTAAGTTTCTATATTTGCAATTAAGAACTTAAATTGTCTTCTTTTTTTAGCTCACCAGAGCCGAAGGCTCAGGGTGAGCTATTAGTATCAAAGGGGGATACTCCGGCGTCCGTCGTCCGTCGTCATGCGTCAACAATCATCTTCTTCTCTGAAACTGCTGGGCAGATTTAACTAAAATTTGGTCTGTAGCATCCTTGTGATAGTCACACTAAAATTTGCTCATGTCATTTCAATTGGCCCCTTTTAGGGTTCAGCAGAGCTAAAAATAGAAAAAACCTTTAGACATCTTCTTCTACAGAACCAATTGATGGATGATCACCAAACTTTGTCTGTAGCATTCTTGGGTAGTCTTTTATCAAGTTTGCTCATATTAATTTGATTGGCCCCTTGTAGGGGCTGCTATAGCTAAAAATAGAAATACCTTTAAACGTCTTCTTCTACAGAACTAATTGATGGATGATCACCAAACTTTGTCTGTAGCATCCTTAGGTAGTATTTTATCAAGTTTGCTCATATTAATTTGATTGGCCCCTTTTAGGGGTCACTAGGGCTTAAAATAGAAAACCTTTACACATTTTCTTCTACAGAACCAATTGATGGATGATCACCAAACTTTGTCTGTAGCATTCTTGGGTAGTCTTTTATCAAGTTTGCTCATATTAATTTGATTGGACCCTTGTAGGGGCCGCTATAGCTAAAAATATAAATACCTTTAAATGTCTTCTTCTAGAGAAATAATAGATGGATGATCACACAACTTTGTCAGTACCATTCTTTGGTAGTATTTTATTAAGTTTGCTCGTATTTATTTGATTGGCCCCTTTTAGGGGTCTCTAGGGCTAAAAATAGAAAAACCTTTAGACATCTTTTTCTACAGAACTAATGGATGGATGATTACCAAACTTTGTCTGTAGCATTCTTGGGTAGTCTTTTATCAAGTTTTCCTATATTATTTTGATTGGCCCCTTTTAAGGGCCGCTATAGCTTAAAATATAAATACTTTTAAATGCTTTTTCTACAGAACTAATTGATGGATGATCACCAAACTTTGTCTGTAGCATTCTTAAGTAGTCTTTTATCAAGTTTGCTCATATTAATTTGATTGGCCCCTTGTAGGGGCCGCTAAAGCTAAAAATAGAAATACCTTTAAACATCTGCTTCTACAGAACTAATAGATGAATGATCAACAAACTTTGTCTGTAGCCTTCTTTGGTAGTCTTTTATCAAGTTTGCTCATCTTAATTTGATTGGCCCCTTTTAGGGGTCTCTAGGGCTAAAAATAGAAAAACCTTTAGACATCTTCATCTGCAGAGCTAATTGATAGATGATCATTAAACTTTGTCAGTAGCATTCTTAGGTAGTCTTTAATCAAGTTTGCTCATATTAATTTGATTGGTCCTGTTAAAGCTAAAGCTTAAATGCACTAGCATTTCTTTTAATTAAAGTTTAAAGATATTCTAAGCTCTAATTTTAATATAAAAAAATATTGACAATGGATACACAGTCTCCTAATAAATATAAATATGAAATATACGTGTTTTGACTTCACACGAAGTAGATATGTAGATATTTTTTGATGTTGAATTCAATTTTGATACCAGCTGACCTACTTTAGGTATTACTGACATCATTTTACCTACTGTCTTGTATTTTGACATTCAGATTTTAAATGTTGACCAGGTTTGTAAATTCTGATGCCGAAATGAATTTTGATATCAACTGACCTACTTTTGATATTTTTGATATAATTTGACTTTCATTCTTGTGTTCTTGACATACAGACTTGAAATTTGGACTAGGGGTGTAATTTCTGATGCTGAATTGAATTTTGATATTAACTGGCCTACTTTTCATATTTTTTACAATGTTTGACTTATTGTCTTTTTTTGTGGTACAGTTATGTTACCATACAGAATGTATAAAAAAAATTGGCCTAAACTGTGAACTTCAAACATCCACACCTTACATGTTTTGCATGTGACATTTTGTATTTTCATTCAAAAAAAAGTTTTAAAAAAAATGTCCAATCAAAATTAATCCTGCTCTAGTGGTCAGTTGTTCTGCATTTATTCTACAATATTTCATAGGAACACATTTTGAACTACATTTTTTTTAAAAAATCCTTTCCAAAATAAGGGGAAAATATTACAATTTTTAAAAAGTGAATAAAAAAAATGAAGGGGTTAGATGATTTCTTTTTCAAAGGGACCATCTTAGTGGTCCTTTTGGGTTTATTATGAAAAAAAAAAAAGCAAAACAATAAAGTGTTGTAAAAGTATTTCCAAAAAGGGGGCCCAAATTAAATTTTGGACGAGCTAAAACGGGCCGAAAAAAACTGGACTTCCCTTTCGGGCAAGTTTTTTGAAAAATTTTCCACACTAAAACCCATTTGGTTTTGGTTAGGGGATAAGGGCCATCATCCCCTTTTTTTTTAAATTAATTTCTTTTTTCTTGGCAATTTCTAAAATGAATTTGGGTTTTTTTCTATATGCTTTTTCAAATTAACATTCACCATACCAGGTTGTAAAAATAACTTAATTTGGTCCTTAAATCAGTTTTTACCACAAAACATCAAACTTCATTTCAGAATTCATGTCACGTTATTGAGAGCAAAATTTTTTGAGTTTCCTTTAGATATGAGCAAGAAAATGTTTATTACCCCCCGCCGAAAAGACAATATAGAATTAATCTCCATCCGTCCGTCTGTCCTCCGTCCGTCACTCTACATTTTTTGTCCGGAGGATATCTCAAAAAGTATCAATTTGAAACTTCATAGGTGGAGGTATCAACTTGAAACTTCATTTGTGGATGGAAAAGTGAAGTGCACAAGAATGATAACTCTACGCTGCATATTTTTTTCATTGTTGCCCTTTGTTATTCTTCAAACTCAATTTTTGTCCACAGCATAACTCAAAAAGCCTTTGAGATATCAACATGAACTTCATGTGGATAGATCTCACTTAGGAGGTGTGCAATGCAAGAGTGATAACTGTACCATTTCTAAATTTTGAGTTATTGCTCTTTGTTATTTTTCATACTTAATTTTTCACCTGAGTGGAGCATAAATTAACTAAAAAAACAAACTTTGAAATGTCAATGTAATCTTCATAAGTAGATAGATCTTTTTGAGGATGAATGTTGTGCGAAAGAATGATAACTCTAACCTTTATAATTTTTGAGTTATTGACATTTGTTATTGTCTTACTTTTTGTCCGGAGAATATCTAAAAAAGTGGTAAAGGTAACAACTTGAAACTTCATAGGTGGATAGCTCTTTTTGATGAGAAGTGCAGCACACTTGAATGATAACTAACCGTTCATTATTTTTCAGTTATTGCCCTTTCTTATTTTTCATACTTAATTTTGTCCAGGGTATAACTACAAAAGCCTTTGAGATATCTACATGAACCTTCAAAGGTGGACAGATCTTACTCAGGAGATATGCAGTGCAAAAGAGTGATAACTCTACCCTTCATAATTTTTAGTTATTGCCCTTTGTTCTTTTTCATACTAATTTTTTCACCTAAGTGGAGCATATCTCTGAAAAAGTCTTTGAAATGTCAACATGAAACTTCATAGGTGGATAGATCTTTTTGAGGAGGAATGTTGTGCGCAAGAATGATAACTCTATCCTTTATAATGTTTGAGTTATTGCCATTTGTTATTTTTTCAAACTTTTTGTCCGGAGCTTATCTAAAAAAAAATGTTAGAGGTAACAACTTGAAACTTCATAGGTGGATAGATCTTATTGGGGAGCATTGCAGCACACTAGAATGATAACATACCGTGCATTGTTTTTTTCAGTTATTTCACTTTGTTATTTTCATACTTTATTTTTTGTCCAGGGTATAACTACAAAAGCATTTGAGATTTCAACATGAAACTTCATAGGTGGATAGATCTTACTCAGGAGGTATGCAGTGCAAAAGAGTGATAACTCTACCCTTCATAATTTTTGAGTTATTGCCCTTTGTTATTTTCCATACTAATCTTTCACCTGAGTGGAGCATATCTCTGAAAAAGTCTTTGAAATATCAACATGAAACTTTATAGGTGGATGGATCTTATTGGGGAGGAATGTTGTGCGCAAGAATAATACCCTTTATATTTTGTTAGTTATTGCCATTTGTTATTTTTCATACTTTTTTGTCCGGAGCTTATCTCAATTATTATTAATTGAGCCTTGATTTTAAAACTAAATGTGTCTGTATTTCTTACCATCCTTTACTGGTTTTAGATTATCATTATTGTTTAATAGGTTTACTAAATTAATGTTGTTCATTATGTCTTATAGAGGTATTGAATGAGTGTAAGTTCAAAACTGAATTTATTGCACGAGTTGAATAAAATTATATTATGCGAGCCTTGCGAGCATAATATTATTTTATTCAACGAGTGCAATAAATTCAGAAATGAACTTACACGAATTTAATATTCTATTTATCACATACCAAAAATAAATACAGTTTAAAGTGAAATAAGAGTCATTTTTCATTGACGCGCATATAGTATAACGCCAACATTTAGCGCGTCTTTACACTATGTTTGTATAACG